CTTGTTTTTACAGAGTATCGTTCAGTATCATCTGGTTTTCTTTTCGATTAGTTGTACAAGCACATCGATGAGTACTTTTGGAGGGAAATCACAGTACACTGTAGCTGATTGAGAGAGCCTTGAGGTTCGCACCTCCACGGTACTGCTGTTTAAATTGTAGGGCGCACATATGCATAGCAGTATAGTCTCTGACTTGATTATTCCCTCCTTAATGGTCTGTTGGCAAATCACTATAAATGATAGTAGTAGCTAAACACGGAAGTATTCGGAACATACGGAACGGGTTAAATTTTTCATTCATGTAATTCATATATATATATATATATAGCGACTATTACTAAGTAAATCATTCGAAATGGCACTGGGTATTACGGTCTAAAGTTCTATAGTGAATTTATTGTACGCAAAGGCTCCAAAATTTCAGATAATACCTGATCCTTTATTAAGAAGTGATTCCAGCTTGTCTTCGTTGGTTCATCAGTGAGTAGTGCTACGTTGGGAAAGGCATAGATTAATGACCTTCTGCCACCCATTTGTACACATTTGTTTCATTACCGAAGCACCCCTCATTCGTGTAATCGAAGTTGAGGCCATTGCCGCATAGGCTGCACAAATGGCAGATGTCGCAAATGTCATTCATCATTGTTGTTAAGCGAACCCGGCTCCAACAGTTGCAATCTTTCTGTTTCTTTCACATAAATGATTTAGAAGTTTATTGTCATTCACTTTTAAACAATTGTCGATCACTTGTAAACATTTGTTAAGCATCAGTTTTTAACTAATTTTGTACTACGTTACGGTACCTTCATCTGTCGCATATAATTTCCTGATTACGGTACATTTCGAACTCTAAACCGGTATGATCTTCAGTAGGTTAAAGTTTAAAACTTCAAAACCTATCAGTAATTCCACATGGTGTTAGTGCAACATCTTGTTCACCAGTACGTCAGATACATCTTGTACGAACAGTGTAAGAGTGTGCAAATAAGATTTTTGCGTTAAAGGTGGTACCTTCAGGCATTAAATCTTAGGATTCGTCGTTATTTGAACGTTAATTTGGCATGAACTTCAGCGTCACTTCTTCATCTTCATCTTCATCTTCCATCGCCGCTTCTCCTTTCGGGTCGCGGAGGCAGACGCGTCAGA